TTAAAAGCTTTGATGCCTCAGCCCCAGTCTTAGAGATTCTATGTAACTTGGTGTGGGGCATGGTCTGGAGATTGTGATTTTATAAGCTCCTAGGTGATTCTAAATGTGCAACCAAGGCTGAAAATCGATACAACAGAGGACATCAACTCTTCCTGGGTGCTGAGAGACCAAATGAGATCTGGGATTAGTCACTGAGGGCTAGCCTGGGAGTTTGGAAAGCATCAGAGGCCAGTGGCAGGGGAGGGAGAGGATGTTCAGGCTGGGTGGAAGGAGTTGGGGTAGCTTTCAGATGGATTGCCCTGAGGGCAGTGAGCTGGCATTCCCAGGAGCAGGCACCTGCGAATCTCCCAGTTCTGTTACTCAGTAAAACTATGGTTTAAGCAAATTGAGTTTTCCCTTCCCTTCAGAGCTCTGGACCAAGGAAGCACAGAGCCAGAGGAGGTCAGAACTTTGATGTCTCTAGCCTCAACTCATGGGCACTCCAGTAGGCAGTTCCCTCTTGCCTGTCCTTCCCTAGACCTGGGAATATGTGAACTGCTTCCCAAGGAGGATGTGACCTAAACTTATGCACACATTCTAAAATGCCCAGGTTGGGCTGACCTGGCAGTCCCTAATCATGTCTCGTACATGGCCTTGGGCTCCTCTGGGTGAGGGGCACTCCCTGTGCTCTAGTGACTTGCGAGGATAATAAACTAGCTGCATGTGAAGTCTATTCCTCTGCAGTCTAATGATTTTATCAACCACTGATAATCTTTTGGACGAGTTCTTAAACGAGACTCTGCTTCTTCATCTGTGGTATGGGGATAATAATGCTTGTCTTTTGGAATTGCTGTGTATAAAAGCATTATATAAAATAGTGTTTTTGAAAATGCTGTCATGGTCTGCCATGACTTCTCCCTTCTTCGGAGAGCACCATACCCTAAGAAAGCTCTCCTCACCCTGCTCTAGATTAGTAGTTGGCTTCTTAGATGACCTTACCTGCCTGGTTACTGTGGGGTACAGATTATTCCTCACCTCCTTTGGCCAGAGTGGAATGAACATGTGTCCTCAGCTGGACCAATCAGAATACGTCTCTGGGAAATTTTGAACTAAGTGGGGATGTGGAAAGCTTTCTTTTTCCCTAAATGTGAGAATGTGGGTTTGGAAGTCGTTGGTAACTATTTCCCCTTCCACCTGGAGAATGAAACCTGAAGTGTGGAGAACTTCAAAGCCGTTTCTCTGAGATCAGGGAAGGCAGGAGGACTGCAGGGCCCCTCTGGGCCTAGTTCCGGTCCTCTCAGCCCCCAGCTGAGGTCAACAGAGGCCCTCTCTGTTGCACCTAAGTGCTTACAAATTGGGTCTGAACATCATGGCAAATAGAGTCCCGAGTAGGACAAGGGCCTGTCATGTGCTTCAGATGTGATAGGTGATTCAATAAATTCCCCATCCACTGCTCTCATCCCTTCCTGGGGTCTTCTTCCAATATGTGTTGGCTAGTGGAGAAGTGTAAGGAGGTGCCAGCCACAGCCTGGCTTTTGAAAAACTTAGAAGCTGTAAATGCATTTCCCTGGTGAGGAGAATCAGAACAAGGGGGACTAGTGGTTTATCCAGCTCAAAGTAGGGGTGGGGTGGGCGAGGGTAATCCAGGGTCTGGGAAGGAGAGTGACATGACGGTGTCCTGGGGAGTCAGAGAGACTCTGGCTTCTTCAGGGCTCTAGGTTTGAGCTACTGCTTAATTAGTGCTATCAGCCGGCTCGGTGGCTCAGCCTGTAATCCCGCGCCTTTGGGAAGCTGAGGTGAGTGGATTGCCTGAGCCCGCGGGTTCGAGACACGCCTGGGCAGGCGAGACCTCATCTCTACAATAAATCAAAAACTTAGCTGGGCGTGGTAGCGCATGCCTATAATTCTGGCTACTTGGAAGGCTGAGGCGGAAGGATCTCCGGAGCTCAGCAGGTCGAGGCTGCGGTGGCCGGGAGCGGCCACTGCACTCCAGTCTGGGCAACACAGTGAGACTCCAACTCTAAAAAAAAAATAAAAATAAAAATAAAAGCGCTATATACGTGCGGGGAACTTTTTCAGGCTTATCATTGGACCCTTTCAGCAACCCAACAGGAAGAGTTACTTTTTATTATTCCCGTTTTACAGATGAGAAAGTTGAGACCCAGGAATGAGAGTTTTACAGATGAGAAAGCTGAGACCCAGAAACGAGAGGTAACGTACTCAAATTCACACTGCTGGTCATGGCAGAGCAGGAATTCGAAATCAGATCCGCCCGACTCCCGATTACTCCGCCCCCACCCTCCTGCGAGCGAGGCCAGTACCGCCGACAAACGCTAAGGCCAGGCCACCCCGCGCACCCGCCGGGTGAGCCGCAGGACGGACGGTTGTAGGGAGGACGGAGCTCAGCAGCCTGGGACCCGGCTCGGCGGACCTTGCCGGGGACGCGGCAGCTTCTCCGCCGGGGCCATCGCCATCGGAAGCCCCGGGACTGGGTCTGAAGGGGCGCAGTCAGGGTCCAAGGAGGGAAGCTCAGCCTTGGAGACTGAGCCCCAGGTAGAAGGAGGGAAGACCAGTAGGGAGGGGAGGGGACGGGGGGGAGGGGGCAAGGGGGGGAGAACGAGGTGGCCCCACAGATTGGGAGGGGAGAGGATGTGGAGAAGACCCCCTACCCTGGCAAATATTACCTGACCCTGGCAAATATCACCTGAGGGTCGGGGGACCTGTGGGGCTGGATGGGGGGGGGCGGATGGCCAGGTGAGAACCCATCTTGGGTCTTGAAAAGGTCCCTGGGCTTTGGAGCTGCAGAGGGGCAGAGGAGGGTTGTCAGCAGGAAGGAACCTCTGATCACCCCTTGGTCAGTTTGCAACACAAGTTGTCACATTACTGAGGGAACAGTGGGGAAGGAGCACACGGACTGGGAGGCCAGGTCACAGGTCAGGCAATTGCAGGGGCCTCGGAATCCAGGAACCTCCAGCCAAGCCAGTGGTCCCCAGAAGCTGGTCTAGGCACCACGGAGCATACAGCTCTTCAATTCCCTCTGTTATAGGTTCTTTTACAAATTGAAAAAGGCCAGGCGCGGTGGCTCATGCCTATAATCCCAGCACTTTGAGAGGCTGAGGGGAGAAGATTGCTTGAGCCCACAGGTTCGAGACCAGCCTGGGCAACTTGGCAAGAACTCATCTCTACAATAAAATAAAAAATTAACTGGGCGTGGTGGCGTGTGCCTGTAATTCCCGCTACTTGGAAGGCTTAGGTGGAAGGATCACCTGAGCCCAAGAGGTTGAGGCCGTGGTGGCCATGAGAGTGCCACTGCACTCCGGCCTGGGCTACAGAGTGAGACTCCAACTCAAAAAAAAAAAAAAAAAAGAAAAGAAAAGAAAAAAAATTGAAAAATAACTCAAGCTAGTGATAACAGATAACAGTTATTTTGTTTTGAATACCCTTGACAAAATAGAAAATTGGTGATCTTATGTTCCCCCATTCTCTCTCCCTTTCTTGCACATGCACATGCACATACTTATGAGAAAAAATTCGCTGACTCCTTGGAAATCCAGATTTGGGAATCACTGAACTGAAACTGCTGGCTACTTGTAGTGGGTTAGGCTGATGTGGCAGCAATGTGGGATTCTGGTCCCTTTCCCGGCATTGCCTGGCTGTGGGATCCTTCACCTGTCTGTCTCTCCAGCTTTCCTTTTCTTCATCAGTACAAAGGGATCTACAAATCCCTCTTTATTTTAAAATGTCTATAATCCTTGAATCTGGCCTGTATCAGTGCAGATCTTAAATTTCGTATCTATGGAGGCACCTTTGTCTAGTACTAGCTTTAAGGGCTGTTTCATGCAGGGTCCTTCCCAGTGCCCTGGGAAGGGAGGACAAGATCCTTATTCTCATCACTGGAGAGTGGCCAGGCAGTAGTGGGGGGTGGCAAGACAGACGGGGGTAGTGACCTGGGGTATGCCCGGCCCCACAGGAACCTGAGGCTGGGGAGAGGAAAGTGTTGTGTCTGTGTCATGAGACATGTTTATGTGGTCTCTCCTCTTAGTAGTTACTGAGTGTCTCCGAGTTCCTGCCTTTTTTCTTCTCTTAATCCCCACCGTTGGCCTACGCTGGGCAGGTGGCGACTGCTAAGTGCGCAGTGAGTTTTTGCTGAGGGAATGGGGTGACGGCTAGTGGCTGGGAGGGCTGTGTGCAGTGAATGGGCCCAAGCTGCATTTTTCAGGGGAAGTATTAGAGGAGTAGAGAGGACACCCCAGGGAGGAAACCAGATGAGAAAACTGGCAGGGTTTAGGGATGGCTGTGGTGTTCAGATGTGGAGGGAGACGTGGTGGCGTGGGAATAGGAAGGATGGATGCTTGGGGGAACATTATGAAAGGAAAACTGAGAGAACGAGGAAGGTTGGTGAGATGGAAGTGTGGAGGAGAGGGAGAGTTTTAGCTCAAGGCTAGAGTTTGGGTGAAGGAGAGAATGACAGAAATGAGGAAGACACCGAGGTCACTTCTTGACAGGCTGAGGTTGGGGGAGGATGGGCGGGAAGAGGTGCCAACTATCCGAGGATAGTCTCTGATAGAGGACAGGGGTCAGGATGCATCTGTGACTCCTTCCTGATGAGTTCTAGAGCTAGAAGGGTTCCTCAGTGCTCTCTGGTCCAACTGACTTCATCATTTTAGAGAGAAGGAAACTGAGGCTCTAAGGTAGAAGAGACTTGTCAGTAGACCTAGAGAGTAGATGGAAGATGAAAAGGGGAGATTTAGAGAGAGGAAAGGACACAGTTTTTCAGAGGGGAAGAACAGAATGGCAGGAAAGGAGGAGAAAGTAGAAGCTGGCACTCTGACAGCTTCTAAGAGGAGCACTGCTTACCCATTTTTAACCAGCATATTTGCAGGAGAGGACCCACATCTCTGTCCTCCATCATTAGGCTTGTTTGGCCATAGTGATCAGTAGTTCTCAGAGATGCCCCTCCTTTGGCTGCAGTGAGGGTCCACATTGGGACTGTGGAGAGGGCCCAGTGCTTGGCACTGAGCATGGTTGGCACGGGGTGCAGGGGAAGGGGAGAGAAGCACCCTCATGCCAATGACAGCCTTGTCTTCTGTGCTACCATGAAAACCTTGGCGCTGCCAAACACAGTTCTGCACAGGCAGAAGTCCCCAGGTCTGGCACTGGCTGTTGTTGGAGGGCACCTTTCTTGTCACATATTCGTTTCACTTCCTGATAACTCCTTCTGCACTGCCAGGTAACCAGGGTCATCATAGTGCTACCCGGAGGCCTCCAGCCAGGACAACCCCCCCTGAAGCACACCAGGCCTCCAGCCACCTCCTCTGCTCCTCCTTCATTAGCAGGGGGAAAGAGCTCCTTCCTCAGAGCTGCCAGACTCAGCACAGACGGAGAGGAAAGAACACTTGTTGAATGAATTTTCCCTAAAGTTGTAAGTGGCTTCCAGCCCTTTCTCCCACAGGGATATCCGAACTTTAGAAGAAGTCTGCCCTTCACCCCTGCCCCAAGCACCTGAGTGTTAGGCATTGTGTTGCATTGTTCTGTGTGCTGTGTTTTGTTTCATTTGTTTCTCCCAGTGGACTTATTGGGCAAGTGTTATGTCTTCCGTTTTCCAAATGGGGAAGCCAAGGTCCTGAGGGCTCCAGCAAGTTCCCTGAGATTACACAGCTAGGAAATGGTGAAGCTGCAGTAGCCAGCACTGACCCACCATGGTGAAGCTGCTCATTCAAAAGAAGATATGTCAGTGAACCAGACGGTAGTGATGCGGAAGATGGGTTTGGGTATGGGACTCCACAGAAAAGGAATCTTTCAGGAGGACCCAGGGCTGCAGGAGGCTCTATGAAGCACTGAAACTCTTTGTAAAACTTTCTGTGTGCCTATGATCTGCTCATTTCTCAGCAGAGGGCTCCTCCTGGCTAGATGAGCCCCCTCCATCTAAATTCCAGGTTCCTGTGGTCAGAAGGCTGGTCACTGAGGAGGGATACCCACGGCTCTGCTCTTTCTATCTCCCTCTGGTTCTCATTCTGCAATCTCAAAAGGCAAAGAGCTGGCTGCAAAAGAGGGTGGCAGGATGTCCTTCTGATGGCCACCGGGGTGGCTGTTAAATAGAATTGAAAGGTTAGAACTTTAGAACTGAAGAGGACTCGGGAATGGCCCAGACCAACCTACTCACTTTACCACAGGAGGAAACTGAGGCTCATGTACCTGCCTGCATAGTGCTATTTTTCACAGCTGTTGTCCCTTTCACCCTGTGCCACAGGGTTGACGTCCCACCTCTGCCACCACTTTTCCCTTACACAGGTGACGCCGACCTCAGAGGACAAAGACATGAAGGGATTCATCTGGGCTGTAGCCCCAGTCTTGACCTCCCTGGGCTACCTGCTCATCCTGCTTGTCTCCGTCTTTCCGTTCTGGGTGCGGCTTAGGGATGAGGAGTCCCATGAAGAGTTTTTCAGTGGCCTGTTTGAGAACTGTTTCCACATCAGGTGCTGGAAGCCTCGACCCTTATCCAGTAAGGAGGGACGGGGGTGGGGTGGGGGAGAGGGTAATGGGGCCAGGGTGGGGGCTGGGGTTGACAGGACTGGTTGGTGGCAGAGGACAAAATTTAATAAGCCCATAAGGGCGTTTCCTCTGAGTCTCCACTTTCTTGGGTTAGAGAAAAGTAAAAGGCTGGGAAGGGATTCATGACGTCAGGTTGACCACGGGAGCAGGAGCAGATATACCAGCAACAATGTTCATTTGTAAGTAGGGGTGCTCTACCTAGGAGCAGGGAGGAGGTCTTGCCCTGCTCTGTGAGATGGAACCAGCTCTCAGGGCTGTTGCTGGCTCGTCCACCCTTTTGGGCGGATAAGCTCCAACAGGGGGACAGCATGGTTGGCAGAGCATGGGCTGGATTTCAGCCCCCACTCGACCTCTTGGCCACACACCTGGCCAGCTATAGTAACAGCTCTGTAGCTAATGTGCTCAGGCCCGAGAAGCACATTTAAAGGGAATGCACACACATATGTGAGTTCAGAGGACTGTGAAGGCTCTTGAGACATGTTTACAAGGAGCTTGCGAAGGTCTTAGGATGTCCTTTTTGGAAAAATTGTAGCCCAGGAAGAGGTAGGGGCCATCTCTGGGTAACAGAAGAAGCTACCTTGGGGAAGATGGGCCAGTCTGTGTGACTCTTTGATCCGAGCTTCCTCAACCTTGGTGCTACTGACATTTTGGGCTGGATGCTGCTTGTTGGGGGGGCTCTCCAGTTTCCTACAGGATGGAAAATAGCACCCCCACCCCTCTTACCCACTAGATGCCTGTAGCAACCCCCCACCCCTTAGATGTGACAACCAAAATTATCTCTAGGCTTTGTCAACTATTTGAAGGGTAAATTGCCCCTGGCTGAGAACTACTGGTTTAAGCCAAGATTCTGGAGAATTTGGGTCGTTAGTAACACTTTTGCCTCTTTGTCCAGCCCTAGCAGGCCATCTCTGCATATTCAGGAGTGAATACAAACATATTTTAAAAGGGGTCTGTACCATGCCAACAGTTGGAGAATAAATCACCTTGCTACCAGACTCCAGCTTTGCTAATTTTGGTCTGTTTCACTACACTTATTTTTTTTTTGAGTTGGAGTCTCACTCTGGCTCCCAGACTGGAGTGCAGTGGCCACTCCCGGCCACCGCAGCCTCGACCTGCTGGGCTCCGGCTATCCTGCCGCCTCAACCTTCCGAATAGCCGGAATTACTGGCGTGTGCTACCACGCCTGGCTAAATTTTTGATTTTATTGTAGAGATGAGGTCTCACTGGCCCAGGCAGGTCTTGAACCCACGGGCTTGGGCAATCCACTCACCTCAGCCTCCCAAAGGCGCAGGATTACAGGCTGAGCCACCGAGCCCGGCTTCACTACACCTGTTAATCAAGAAAATTAAATAAGGGTATGGGGGTTCTGTCAGAGTTCAGAACATTTTGACCTCATAAAGCTCTGATTTTCCACGGATGAATTATTTCAGTGTAAATGTGAAGATGCGATTCTTCACATTTGCTTATGCAGCACATTTTATCACAAGAGTGTGATTTTATGTTGTTTATTAAAACCAGTTTTCCCTAATGGATGAGACATGATTTCCCCATGTGATTCGATACAACCAGATTCACATAATAATATTTGTTAAGAATTGATTAATGATTTCAGTCTCTGACATTGTCAATCTTATTATTATTTTTTCATACAATTCTATGTCATTGGGAACAAAATGGTGAGGCCAGAGCATTCTTGGAGGCAAGCGGATCACAACCTCAGTTCCAAGGCCATGCTTGGGGACCTGAGGTGGGTGGAGGTTCTGGGGCCCTGCCTTTTGTGGGGCGGGGTTTCCAGCTTCAGCCCTAGCTTTCTCTCCCCTGCAGGTTACATTCTCCTTGGTCGAGCTTTCTTGCTCTTTGCAACCATCTTGGCTTTCTTCACCACCCTCTTCATGGTGTCCTTTGCATTTGAGCTCTTCCCAAGGACCCGGAAGCAATATTTTATGTCAGCCTTCACAAGCTGCCTCACAGGTGTGGAACAGCTCGCAGTCCCTGTCCTCTACTGGGGCCTGGGGAGGCAGAAGTGGGGTGGTTGGTCTCTGTGACGTCAAGAGAGGCATAATTTTTAAGGCCCTACTCCCACACCTGTCCCTTCAGAATTATGATCCCTTTTCCTTGAGGCTTTCCAATACTCTACCTTTCCAGCTCACTAGCCCTGACCATGTTGGCCTAGGGTCATTTGTCTGGGAGGTCTTTTAAACCATGAACTATCTAACCCAGTCACTATCATAGAATCTGGCATAGAATTATAATTGAAATATAAAATGTAAATGAAGTATAAATATTTCTTGGATGACTGAATGGGAGAAACCATCTCTGCCCTTTGGAACCTTTTGACATTTTTGAAGGGTGACCCAGATCCCACCCTGGGAGGCTCCCAGACAAATGGAGGAGGTAGAACATATACAGTGGGAAAATCAGGTGCCACCCATAGGGCTCAACCTGAAGTGAGTCAAGGGCACAGATGCAGAGGGTGTCGGGAATTGGATTTCTGCTGATGGGGCCCCTGGGAGGTGAGGCATATGGGTTTTGAGATGAGTTGGAGCGAGAGACAGCATGTGGGGTGGGAGTTTCGGAGAGTCTAAGGGGTACAGGCAGGATAGAGGAGCCTTCAAGCGAGAGCTACATGGCCGTCTGGCTGTCAGCCATACAGTTCTCTCTGATTAAGTGTGAGGAAGGCGGGAAGCATGGGAGGAGAGTGAGAGTATCTTCCTGTGACCCCGCAGGGGCCTGTACCTTCCTGGCCTTGATGCTGCATGCTCTGGAGATCCAGGATCTGAGGATGAAGTCCAACTCCCTGCAGTTCTCTGTGCAATGGCCTTACTACGTCCTGGGCTTTGACATTCTTCTGTTCATAGTGGTTGGTGAGTGTCCAGGGGCTAGTGTCCCTCTTCTTGCCCTCTGGATTTAAGAGCTTTTCTTAATGAGGCCTCCCCATGGATTCTCTAGAGTTGCACTGTTCCAAACTGCAACCACTAGTATCACATGGCTATTTAATTGATTATAGCGAAATAAAGTTGGAATCTATGATCTCTTTTCTCACACTACCTTGTTTATCTTTAAACATCACCACCATCTAAATCCTTAATCCTATCTGATTTTGTTCCTACTCCTAATTCTCTCCCTGCCATATTAAATTGACTCACGATCAATGATCATATTCCATTGTAACTCAATTTTATTATACATTGAATATATAAAATAATATTTATATCTAAAAGATATGAGTAGCTGGGTGCAGTGACTCAAGCCTGTATTTCCAGCACTTTGGAAGGACAAGGTGAGGGGATTGCCTGAGCCCATGGGTTCGAGAACAGCCTGGGCAACTTGGCGAGACCTCATCTCTGCAATAAATCAAAAAATTAGCCGGGCATGGTAGTGCACACCTGTACTTTCCACTCCTTGGAAGGCTGAGACGGAAGGATCGCCTGAGCCCAGCAGGTCAATGCTGCAGTGGCTGTGAACGTGCCACTACACTCCAGCCTGGGCAAGGGAGTGAGACTCCAACTCAAAAATAAATAAATAAGTAATAAAAAAGATATGAGTAGATAAAAATAAATTGTACACCCATATTTCTAACATATAATTTAAGAACTAGCCATATTTCATCAAATTCATTGTTTGTAAGTCACGTCATTACTTTATGCAGCACTGAGAAAGAAAAATTGATGCAAAGAATAATTTTAAGCTACTATAGTTTGCAAGACACAGCCTGATTGCATAGATGTTAAAATGTGAAAAAAAATTAACTTCTCAAACTTAATGAAATATGGTGGAGCAACAAAACTGTATCTTCAAAGCATCCCCTCCCCACTGGCTCTTCCTGATCTCATCCTTTTTTCTCCCTCCAGAACCAATTATTCTGTAGTTTATGCTAATCATATTTGCTGCACGTGTGTGTGTGTGTGTGTGTGTGTGTGTGTGTGTGTGTGTGTGTGTGTGTGTGTGTGTGTTTAATTTTAAAGATGTAGGGTACAATTCAGGGTTAGGTACACAAGAGGTCATTGTACAGATGAAGTTTGGGCTTCCCATTGTAAATTCTTAAATAATATATTTAGCTCTGCATTCTTCAAAACTTCATATAAATATAATTGTACTTTATTCTTCTGGATCTTGCTATGTTTGGTCAACATTATAATTTTCTGAGATTCCTTTGTGTTAATAAGAGTAACTGAGGTTCACTCATTTTTATTGGTGTTAAGTATTTACTTGTACAAATATTCTACAGTTTATTTAGTTTCTTGTCAATGGATGTTGGACAGTTTCCAGGTTTTTTTTTTCTATCACCAATGACACTGCTGTGAACTTTCTTGTACTTGTCTCTTACTGCATTTCTGCAGGATATTCTCTAGGATATATGCCTAGGACAGGAATTGCTGGATTGAGAAGATTATGTATAATTTAAAGTTTTCTAGATGGTGCCAAATAGGTTTCCCAAGAGATTATACCAATTTATGCTCCTACTGGCAAGGCAAGAGAATTCCTGTTGTTCCTGCTTATTCTAGACATTTGAAATTGTCAGACTGTTTAACTTTGCCAATTTAATTGGTATAAGATGGTATCTTATGCTACTAATAGTCTTTCTTTGATTATTAATGAGAGTGAACATATTTTCATATGTTTATTGGCCATTTATGTTTCTTCTTCTAAGGAGTTGCTATTTAGTATTTTGTTTGTTTTTTTTTGGTTCTTTTCAAATTGATTTGTAGGACATCTTTATTTTGTTTATTTATTTATTTACTGAGTTGGAGTCACTCTGTCGTCCAGGCTGCAGTGCAGTGGCTTGCTGACCGCCACCACAGCCTCAACTTGCTGGATTAAGGTAATCCTTTTGTTTCAGCCTTCCAAGTAGCTGGAACTACAGACAGGTGCCACCATGCCTGGCTAATCTTTTGATTTATTGTAGAGATGAGGTCTCACCAAGTTGCCCAGGCTGGTCTCGAACCTGTGAGCTCAGGCAATCCTCTCACCTTGGCCTCCCAAAGTGCTGGGATTATAGGCGTTAGTCACCGCATCTGGCCCTTTTTATCTTATTAGATATTAATCCTTTATTAGTATGAGTGTTGTAAATATCTTTACCCAGTTTATGACTTGACTTTTTTCTTCTTTTATGCTGTCTTTTGAGGAACAGAAATTCATAATTTTATTGTAATTAAATTTATTGATTGTTTCCTTTAAATGTTTATATCTTTTGTGTATTATTTAGAAAATATTCTCTTGGTGAGGTCTTAAAGCTATTTCATTAGATTATCTTCTGAAATATTTTAGTTTTGCTTTCTAAATTTAACCTTTACTCCACATTGAATTGATTTATGGTGTGAAGTAGAAATCGCTTTCATTTTGTTTTCCAAATGAATATCCAGTTGTTATAATACCATTTATTGTTTAGTCAATCCTTTCTGTACTGATTTGCAGTGCTATTTCTGTCAATAATCAAATTTGTATATTCCACAAATCTTTCTAGTGTGTAAACCACATGTTTATAATTATAGTAGCTTTATATTATCTTGATATTATATATCTTGGTATCTAGTAGGAAAAAAATTCTCCCACTTTTTCCTCTTCAGAGGTATCTTAGTTATTTTTGGCTTCTCCTCTCTAAGAATCAGCTTGTGACATTCACAGAAAAAAAAAAGTCTGTTGAAATTTGTTTAGCATTCTGCCAAATTTATGACCAATTTAAGAAGAACTGAATTTTTTAAAATATTGAAAAATTTAGGTATTTTCTTCCTATTTCCTTAGATCTTTAATGATTTTATGTTTATTCTTTGTAGAGATGGGGTCTTGCTATTTTGCTTAGGCTAGTCTTGAATTCCTGGCCTCAAGTGATTCTCCCTCTTTGCCCTCTCAAAGCGCTGGGATTACAAGCCTGAGCCACTGTGCTTGGTCTTTTAAAATGATTTAAAAAATCTTTTTATGCGTTTATCTTTTTACTAGACTTTCCCCCCTAGATAGCTATATCTCCAGGTACAATGATAATAGAAGTAGTGATAGTAAAGAGAATGTTTTTGATGTTTCATTATGAAGTATGGTGTTTGTATTTTAGGTAGATAATCTTTATTATATTAAGGAAGTTATTGTCTAGTTCCAGTTGATAAAGATCTGCTCTCCGTACAAATGGTTTTCTTTTAAAAGCCATTCTTCTTTTCTCTCAGACTTTCTTTCTTTCTTTTTTTTTTTTCGAGTTGAAGTCTTACTCTTGTTGTCCAGGCTGGAGTGCAGCGGCACGCTCATGACCACTGCAGCCTCGACCTGCTGGGCTTAGGCGTTCCTTCCGTCTCAGCCTTCCAAGTAACTGGAACTACAGATGCATGCCACTACGCCCGGCTAGTTTTTGTGATTTATTGTAGAGATGAGGTCTCACCAAGTTGCCCAGGCTGGTCTCGAATCCCCGAGTTCAAGCAATCCTCTCACCTTGGCCTCCCGAAGTGCTGAAATTACAGGCTGAGCCACTGCTCCTGGCCTCTCTCAGACTTTCTTTGGCATTTTGTAGGGTATGGATATTTGTGTTATGGTTCATGTGTGAGCTTAATCTGAAGAGTGGTGTCTTCCAGAATTTCTAGAACCTTTTAATGTTTTCCCCATTTTATTTTCCTTTGTGGGACTTCAGTTAGATCTTGGTACATTATCCCGCGTGTCTTAATTTATCTTGCATATTTTCCATCTCTTTGTCTTTCTGGGTTGCATTCTGAATAACTTAGTTAGATGTATCTTTTATTTTATCCATTCACTTTTTACCTGTGTCTGCTCTTCTATTTAACCTATCCATGACATTTTTCTTTTAATTAATCTATTTTCATAACTAGAAATGATACTTTCCCATGAATCTTATTATTTTATACTTTCCTCTTCCTTATATTTATAATACATTCTATAAATATATTTTTAATAGACACGTGAAACATTTATTTTTATTCTGTTTCTTCTAAGTTTAATGACTGAATTATTTGCAGGTGTGAGTCTGTTCTTGGCTATTTCCATAGACTCTTCCTTGTCGTGTCTTCTTTCCTTGTTTATATGTTTTATGTGTGTGTGTGTGTGTGTGTGTGTGTGTGTGTGTGTGTGTGTGTGTGTGTGTTTACTGTGAATTCATTTTCTTTGGAATTTTATGTGTGGAAAATCTTTGAGATCTGGATTTAAAGTGTTTCCTCCCAAAAGGATTTGCAATTGCATCTGCCTGGTGCTTGGGTTTATAACCAGCCTAAGATCACAAACAAAATACATAGGTATTATTAATTTAGTTGCAGGTTCACATAACAGCCAGTGTATGTGTACTAATTGTCAGTCAATACAGGTAACTTTGAGGTTCCAATTTCATGTGGAGGACTCTCATTAGATTCCCCATCTTAAGCAGGCTTTGGGGTTTTTCTCCTATTTTCTGTGCCCTAAATGGCCAACAAAGTGACCTGGGTTGGGTGTATATCTCCAGGGTGAAGGCTAATTGTGTGCTTGCTTAACTCTCTAGATTCCTGTTTTCACTTTGGTTTTGGCTTCTAAGAATATCTTATTTTGATGTCAGCTTGGTGATACATTTAAAAATAAGTTTTAAAGAAATATGAGGGGACATCACAAAGTTCATGGAAAGTGTATATTATGAAAAAACTATTCATGAGTTTCAAAATATTTTTGCAGCAAGACAAACTGGTACTAACTTGTTATAATATATCTGGATAGGATGTAGTTTAGGCACTGAGACATGCTCTAGTTTGAGAAGAGCCCCTATCAGAGCAACATAATTCTGCTAAAATTGAAGTAAGAACAAACATTAAATTTATGGTGAATCTTGGGTGGAAGAATAGTGAAATCACTGATGCTTTATTAAGAGTTTATGCAGACAACACCACACAGAAATTAACAGTTCACAAATGGGAAACTTGGTTTGAGAGGGGGATGAGATGAAGCCCATAGTGGCAGACTATCTACATTACTTTGTGAGGAAAAAATTAATCTTGTTTGTGCCCTCACTGAAGAGGAATGAAGATTAACAGTAGAAATCATAGCCAACATGATAGACTGGTTCTCAACTGGTTCAGCTTACACAATTTTGACTGAAAAATTAAAATGAGCAAACTTTCTACTTGATGGATATCAAAGCTGTTGTGCCCAGATCAGCTGCAGACAAGAGCAGCGATTTCTTTTTGTTTTTGTTTTTTTTTTTGAGTTGGTCTCTCACTCTGTCACCCAGGCTGGAGTGCAGTGGCATGCTCATGGCCACTGTAGCCTCGACCTACTGGGCTCAGGCAATCTCTCCACCTCTGTCTTTCAAGTAGCTGGAATTACAGGCATGTACCACCATGCCAGGCTAATTTTTGATTTGTTGTAGAGACGAGGTCTCACCAAGTTGCCCAGACTGGTCTTGAACTCCTGGGCTCAGGCAATCCTCTAGCCTTGGCCTCTCAAAGTGCTGGGATTATAGACTTGAGCCACTGCACCTGGCCCAAGAGCAGAGCTTTCAATGAAATTTTTAAACAAATGAATCAAGATCCTGAAAGCATTTCTTTAAGAATTGTTAATAGGAGATGAAACACAGCCTTAACAATATAATCCTGAAGAGAAAGGACAATTAAAATGAATGGCCACCAAGAGATGGGCATGGCCCAGTCAAAGCAAAAGTTGACCGGCCAAGTGCAAAGGTCATGGCAACAGTTTTTTGGAATGCTCAAAGGCATTTTGCTTACGGACTTTCTGGAAGGCTGAAGAACAATAACATCTGCTGATTCTGAAAAGGTTTTGAGAAAGATAACCAAAGCTTTAGCAGAAAAATGCCCAGGAAAGTCTCACCAGAGAGTTCTCCTCTACCACTTAATGTTCCTACTCATTCCCTCATCAAACAAGGGCAACTTTTTGTGTTTTAATGGGAAGTCCTTAGGCATCCATCCTGCAGTCCTGACTTTGACTCCTTCGTTTGTTTCCTAATCTAAAATAAATCCGTAAAGAGCACCATTTTTACTTAGTTAATAATGTAAAAAGTACTGCATTGGCATGATTAAATTTCCAGGACCTTCAGTTCTATAGGGATGGACTACGTGACTGATCATTGCTTACAAAAGTGTCCTGAACTTGGTGGAGATTATATTGAGGAATGAAAGTTATGTTTTTTTACTTTTATCTGTTAATTCTCTTTTTACATGAGCTTTTGAAAGCCTTCATGTTTTATTTAGAATTTTGCTATTTTTAGTGGGAGAGTGTCTAGTCTGATATAATGCTGAAAATAGAAGTTGTCTTTTATCATAGTCTTAACCTTAACACAGCATTTATAATTCACTTAAGATAGCTCCATTTGTTCTTATGAACATCAGTTGTCTTTTTCCTTTCTTTTGCTTTACTGAGGATCTTGAGTTGGGCATCACGAGGCTTGGCTTTATGTTGGACCTTTCTCTCTCTACACCCTTGTTTTCCTCATTTATTTATGGGCGAGGTGATTGCTGACATGCCTTCTAGTGCTAGCCATGACTCTGAGATTTTATCCATCTATTTGTATTCCTTGTTCTTTGATGCATCCTGTTTTCTCTTGTCTCTCTGTAATACCCTAGGTTGGAAGGGAGAATGAGGGAGGATAGGTTCAGAGCCAGAGGGACTCAAGTTAGTGAGGAAGTTCCTGACCTCCAGGACATGGAGCTGGACATTCTCTTTCTCTCTGTCTATCTCTTTTTGCTTTTCTTTACTATTTAATTATGATGGTATAGTGAAACACAGTATAGTATCTATCTACATATACCTATATACACACACATATATGGTTCAGAAAAATGTAGTTGGTAAATCACATTTTGATAAATCACAAGATATTGTAAAAGCATAACAAGAGCAAGATATTTAACAGGTCTCTAGTTTGACTACTTTTGTAATGTGAGTATCATTCTCCACTTGGCTTTTTTGTAAATCTAGACTTAAAAATCTATCAGTTGCAATAGATGGATGGTGCATATCCCTATCAGAAAGAATCCAAGAGCTTTCTCATGACCAAATGTATAATATTCTATACATTTTAGAAAAAAAGTCAAATTATTTTTAAAAAGCTGTTGAAGAAATGTAAATTAATTTCACATTATTTAAAATAAATATAATAAAAACTATTGCTCACATGCAGTTTTATTTATTTTTTTTAAAGAGATGCAATTTGCAAAACACCAAAGCATGCTAGACACCCACCCTCTCTGACCTGACCCAAATCTTTGCTGTTATCTAGGTGCCATCTGCCTCTCTCAAGAAACAGCCTGCCCTGGCTGCCGTTTGTTATCCATTTCCCAGAAAACTGAGGATGGGCAGGAGAGCCTGCACTTGGATAATCTGGAGAGTTTGGGAGAACTGAACTCAGCACAAAAGAAGACATTGCTGACAGAAGAAATAGTTATCTAGCCCAGGACATCACCTTTCCACCTGTTTTCAAGCTGCGTGAGTGCATGCATGTAGGTGTGCATAGCTCCCTTTTCTCTGCTGGTGTCTGCTGCTGTTGAGAGCTTCTTGTGTGTCCAATCAGCCTCCCACTTCCCCATACTCACAGTGATTCTATCTTGCTTGTATTTGAAATTTGTTAAACATTCTTTAAACACTTCTGGTCTTCCTGCGTGACATTTTTTGCACGTGTTTTCAATAAAAGAAGGGCCACTCTGTTAATCCACACCTCAGAAACTGAGTTGGAGAGCAGGAGGGGTGGGAGGAATGTTAAAAGAGAGAAGTGGGATTTTGTAAAACAAAAACGGTGTAGAATAGAACCACAACGGAAGGTGTTTAAACTGGTGACATTAAAAAGGAAAAGTGATGTCCCCAGAAAAAAGTATGACTCAGTGAATATTTCTTCAATATGTGTTTTGGGGAAGGGCTCGGGTAAAGATAAACCTTCCTGAAGATTGGACTACCAAGACTATAAGTCTGAGTTGGTGAGTCTGTGCCTCCGGGGAAGGCATAGGCAAGTTAGCCAATCAGTAAATTGGTATTCCATCCTTTCCCTAGTGCAAGAGGCCTCTTGAGTGCACCTCCAATGTACTCCTGTTTACAGCTCTACAGTGCTCACAGCTTGAAAACACATGCTTGGGGCCATAGGGAAGCTAGCATAGTGATCCAAGCCCTCCAGTATCTTCATCTCCACCCTTCATCACAAAGATACCATGTAGTGGCCAGTATGGTGGCTCATTCTTGTAATTCCAGCACTTTGGGAGGCTGAGGTGGTAGGATTGCTTGAGGACAGGAGTTTGAGACCAGCCTGGGCAACATAACAAGACCTTGTCTCCTTAAAAAAAAAATTGCTGGGCATGGTGGCACTGGCCTGTAGTCCTAACTACTCAGGAGGCTGAGGTGGGAGGATCACTTGAACCCAGGAGTCTGAGGCTGTAGAGATCATGTTACTGCACTCCAGCCTGGGTGACAGAAGGAGATCTTTTTTCTTAAAAAAGAAAAAGAAAGAAAAGGAAAAAAAAAACCAACTGGGTGTGGTGACTTTTGCCTGTTATCCCAGCACTTTGGGAGGTTGAGGTGGGAGGATTGCCTGAGCCCAGGATTATAAGATCAACCTGGGCAATATAGCGAGACCCGTCTCTACAAAAAAGAAAAAATCAGAAAAATATCCAGGCATGGTAATGCATGCCTGCAGTCCCCGCTATGTGAGAGGATGAGGTGGGAAGATCTCCTGAGCCCAGGAGGTCTTGAACTCATGGGCTCAAGCAATCCTCCTGCCTCGGCCTCCCAAAGTGCTGATATTACAGACGTGAGCCAATGCAACTGTCCACTTTTCCTTCTTAAAAAACAGAACCTATAAAAACCTTTTCCTTTCTTTAAAAAAAAAAAAACCCAAAACCAAGAAACTGTAATTGTCATTGAAACTAGTAATAAAGAAAATGTACAAACTCTAACTTACATATTTGTGGCCCAAAGCATCCCAATTCAGCAGAGTCAGTTTGAGAAGCCACAACTGGGGGATTAGCTTGGTGGGCACAGTGGGGCAGATCAAAGAATACGTAAGGGTTCCAGTGGCAGCAAATATAAAATAATTAGCAAATATTAGTCCTCAGATGCCTGAGAAAGACCCACCCTGAGAGAATGGCTGTGCATAGGACAGAGAACAAACATGGTGGGACTTTTGTGTTGGGGAAATGTAGAAGGCATAGAAAGTGTATGGGGCTGGTATGGGAAAAGATTTAAAAATAGGCATGGCTAGTTTAGTTATTTTAACTTAAAATTAGTATAGGCTAGAAGTCCGTGACTCAATTTCCCCATCTTCTCACCTAGATTTCTATAATATAAATAATCAGAAAAGAATGGAAATTCACAACAGAAATGAAAGCTAGGATTGATGGTGGATTTTTTTGCCAGAATTTGGGAAGAATGTTTACTACACGGTCTATAGAATTGGTCAAATAAAAAAATTAAAATCAAATCCACAAATATTAGAAATCAGTCGTAGTTAATTTTGGTGAGTTGAGAACTCTCACATACATTTGATGGGAATGTGAAGTGGCATAAAGTTTCCAGAAAGCATTTTAATATACATTAATAGGCTTAACAATGTTCATGCTTGTTGGTCAAGTTGATTTTCTAGGAATTTATTCAAAGGAAATAACCAGAGATAAGATCAAGTATTGATATGTGAGAATGATTATTCCCAGTTATTTATAATGGCAAAATAAAAGAGTATATTGTAGATTATTTCCTACACATTGGAATGATTTAACAAAATACAGTATGCTCATAGGATGGGATATTATGGAGACATTAAGAATGTAACTGTTAATGTTTTATTTGGAAGAAGTAAAACTATATAAATAAAGAAGGCTGGAGAAATTCTGCATCTGATAATAAGGCAGACTAAATATTTGTACTAATTCTTCTGGCAAAAACAACAGAAAGGATAAAATATATTATGAAATCTAAAAGTATCAAAGAGATAAATTAGTAATGAATAATCAGATAGCATCAAAGTGAAGAAAAATACCCAGAGAAACCATTTTGCAGAGATTTGGTTTTGTTTTTTTTTTTTGAGTTGGAGTCTCACTCAGTTGCCCAGACTGGAGTGCAGTGGCCGCTCCCAGCCACCGCAGCCTCGACCTGCTGGGCTCCGGTGATCCTTCCGCCTCAGCCTTCCGAGTAGCTGGAACTACAGGCGTGCGCTACCACGCCCGGCTAATTTTTTTGATTTATTGTAGAGATAAGGTCTCGCCAAGTTGCCCAGACGGGTCTCGAACCTGCGAGCTCAGGCAATCCACTTAGCTCGGCCTCCCAAAGCGCGGGATTACAGGCTGAGCCACTGAGCCCGGCCGAGATTTAGTTTTTAAAGCTGGGCTGAGAGCTCACCCAAGGAAGGGCATCTAATAGAAGAGCCTCCCTATCGACGAAGGATTGTAAATGGCTGTGTCAGCCATATAAGGGTGAGAGACACGTTATCTATCCCATACCCCTACCACCAGGGTCTGTTAAGGAAGTCTGTCCTAGTGCTGAGCCAAACAACCACAGAGCCATCATTGATAAGTTGTAACCACAAAGAATCCCTCATATATCTGCAGTCCAACTTTTCTTTTTTTTTTTTTGCTGCTCAACTTTATATTACTAGCATGGTTCAAAAATTCTCAAACTAGTTTACAGTGGGCTTGGACTGGTGATGCTGGCAATTACATTGAAGGAAAAAATATAAACACCCTCTAGAGAAATTAACTTTATCCTGGAACTCAAAGAAGCTCCACAAAAAATTTTCCAAGGAAAATGAACAGCTTACAGAACAGAATAAACACACAAGGAAACAAGGCACCATGGTATGTCTGAGGAAGATATATTTGAGGTATGCTATTTTATTTAATCTCCCCAGAACTCAAGCATCAACAAGGAGATACACAGCTTAATAGAAACACAAGGAAAAGTCAGTCCGCAGAAAAAGAAAAGCAAGTAGTTAATAAAGGTAGAAATAAAAATTGCCTTTACTCACAATAAAGAAAATACAAATAAAAAAATGAGGTTAACATTTATTTCACCTGTCAACTGGCAAAGATTAAAGTTGGCAAATACCAGCATGGGTGACTGTCAGAAATGGGCACTGTCCCATTTCTCTTGGCGGGAATGGCACCATCAAAAACAATGGAAATAGCAGACAGCAGAAACAGATCTGAAGGGATTGCAGATCTTGAAATTATCAGACTCAATTATATTTACCATGTATAAAGAAATACTTGAAGATATCTGTGGGAATACAATTAAAAAAAAAGTCAATCTAGAATATCTGAAAAAGAACCAAATAGAAATTCTAGAAATGAAAAAAATATATTAATTAAAACGCAGTTTGAATTTTGTTGCCTATTTGAAACAGCTGAAAAGTGCATCCTTAAACAGAAAAAAAAAAAATCTGAGCAGAGAAGAAAAGTATGAAAGTGGGACTAAGACACGTGGAGGATAAAGTGAGATGGCCCAACATATCAAAATTCCAGAAGGAGCTCATGTATTCAATAAATATTTTTTAGCAAATACTGTTCCAAAAACTTTGCTAAGGGTTGGTGAAGAGTAAGGCATGTGGGCTTCCTGCTTCCTCAGTGGATTCTGGAAAAACACTCAGCACCAGGCCAAGATTAGCTGCTTCAGTTCACACTCCACCAGCAGTCCCTGACAGCTGTCCATCTCCCAGTCATCTGCTCTGCCATTAGCCAACTTTAATGTTTGAGAATTGATAGGTGAAATATACATTACCTCACATTCATTTTCTTCATTGTAAGTGAGGTCATTGTTCCTACCATTATTAACTATTTGCCTTTCTTTTTCTGTGAACTGGGTTTTCTTTGACGAAAAGATGCCAAGCTCTATAAAATATTTTAAGAGGTTTATTCTGGCCACTATGAACTTAGGTTCGGGAACACCCATCCTCAAGCGGTCCTGAGAATGTGTGCCTGCAGTGGTCGAATTACAGTTGGTTATATAAATTTTAGGAAGGCAAAAATTACAAAAACCATACACCAGTACATGGGAGATTTTCATCGGTTTGGCCCGAGAAGGAAGGACATTTCCAAGTGGGGGCTTGCAAGTTATTGGTAGATTTAAGGATTTCTTGACTGGCAATTTGTAGTTCCTATCTGAGAAATTCTGGAAATCAGTAGAGGATAAGGTGCCCAGGGTCTGGGAGTCCATCTCTGAGGAATTTTGGAAATCATAGAGGACAGAGTACCCAGGGCTTGGGAGTCCCCAAAAGATGGCTTTGCAGGGTCATAAAATATTTTGATTTTCTTCTTTATCTGTTGTGATGTTATGCCGGAGACAGGTTGGAACAAACAAACTTCAGTGTATAAGGCAACAAGGTAATAAAGCCCCGTCTGTTGAATCCTCAGTCATGACTCTCCAAGCCTCTTAGGAATTTGGATAAAAGAAAAAAGGACTTTAGTCCTCACTTGTGTTTTATTAACCTGTCTATCTCTTTCTTATTGATTTATGAGTTCTGGATATATTAAATAAATTGGCTTTCCTTGAACATATCTCTTCCATATTGGTGCCGCCTTTGTCTTCTTCTTCTTCTTCCTCTGCCTCTTCTTGTTGGGGTCTTTTTCTGTTGCCTAGGCTGGAGTGCAGTGGCATGAGCACGAATCGCTGCAGCCTCGACTTCCTGGGCTCGGGTGATCACCTTAGCCTCCCGCTGGGACTATAGGTGCACACCACCAAGTCTGGTTACCCTTAAAAATTTTTTTTGGTAGAGACTAGCTCTCACTGTATTGCCCAGGCTAGTCTCCAACTCCTGGGCTCAAGCCATCCTCCCTCCTTAGCCTCCCAAGTGGATATGACAACAGGTGTGGGATTTTGGCGCCTTCTTGAGTAATACTGTCTCTGCTGCTAATGCTCTTCTTCACCTTTTCCTGCTTGGGAAAATCCTACCCATGTCTGTTGTCCAAAATGAAATGTCATCCACCTTGTGACATCTTCTGAGACAACCACCTCTTACAACCAGACTCTTTATTTCTATTCCCGGAAGATTTAGTGCACATCTCTTCTATAGGGCTTTATCTTTTAAAAATTTTATTTTATTTTTTAGAGGATGGGTTTTACTGTTTCCCAGGCTGGACTCAGACTCCTGGGCTCAAGCAACCCTCCCACCTTGGCCACTACAAGTTGGGACTACAGTATCTGTTACCGCACTCGGCTTGATTTTGCTTATGATATTTTTTTGGGCAGGCATGCTTGCTATTTATACGGTAGAATTTATTCATCTTTTCTTTAATGGCTTCTGGATGTAAGTCATAATTAGAAAGAATCTTCCCAATTCAAAGTTATAAAAGAATTCTTTTTTAAAAAAGATATTGTTATAAGTGGTTCATATTTTATATTCTAATTCTTGATCTACTTGGAGTTTGCCCCAGCGTGTTCGGTATGAACCAACATTTCCAGACCACCAACTAATTGTTTTTCAAAACTTAATTCTTATAAGATGATGTGGCCTTTCTCATTCACTAGCTTACTCCATTCTCTGGATCATCCTCCAGTTCCGATCAATTCTCCCGCAGTGCCCATTCTGCCTCCCAGACGGGTTTCATGTCTTAACCTTTCTTGCAATCCCGGGTCTCACTGGCTGCCCCAGTTCTCTCATTTTCTCCCCTCAGATTTTATTTTTTATTTCTTAAAAAAGAATGTTTTTAAAAATTTAAATACGTGGGGTACAGTTCAGGGTTAGGTATATCCATGTTCCGGGTCCCCTTGCAGACTGCATTTTAAAACCTCGTTTTGCCTGGTCAGTCAGTGGTCTCATTTCCCCATCTCGCTCCCCTCTTGCTCGGTCTTCCTCGAGGGTTTCTCCCGAGCATCTGAAATCTGGTCCTTTCAGAGGCTTCCTGAGCGATATCCTACCGCAGCCGGTGGTTTTGTGGTTCTGTGGCTCTGCTGGTGTGGACATGGCATCGATCCCTCCGCGTCGTGCACCCTCTCCTGGAGACAAATGGACCTCACTTTTTATTCCACCCTCAAGACTGAGCTCAGGTGCCAACTCCTCCAGGGAGCCTACCCGACTACACACACGCACACACACTACCCGAGATGAGGCCCCTCTCACACCAACCCGTAATACCCAGAGCGCCCTCCACCTCCCTCTGCCCGGACGCCTCGCCAAAGGCACCGGGGGCGCAGAGCGGCTACGCGTCGACCGAGTGAACTCGAAAGCCCCTTGACGGAGGCGCCGTGTCTTGCAATATGTCGAGTCCTTTCAACAGAGGGCAAGCAAGCGTCAAGGCACGGAGGCGCAGAGAAGCTGGGAGACGGAAAACCTCGACGGGGGAGGAGTCCCTTTGCGGTCCCGCCGCGCCGGGCTCGGATCGGCCAGAACCGGGTGGGGCGGGAGCGGGG